CACTCCTCACATGTTGATTTTTACTGAGGGAGGAAAACCCTCTTTTTAAAATAATACCAGTAGTTACAGGTCTCTCTTTTAGAGGCAATCACTTCAAATCAGAAGCAAACTAAAATACATTCTTTGGCTGCATTAAACTCTTAATTGTTCAGTTCATATGGGACACTTGTTTATACATGCAGTTTGAAAGACTTTAAGTCCTTTATCAGTATCACTAGTTAGCTAGGATATTTTTGTACTAAGTGTCTGATGTGTTGTTCATAACACAAGGGTGTTCACTAGCTACTGAAGCTCACACTGTAAAAAACATTCAAATATAGATGTGTACCTTCTCTAACACTGAAAGGCATAGTTACTACACCATAAGCACCAGGAGTACCATACAGACAGCAGATAAAGTCAGACAAGTAGTCCAGCACACTCAAGTCATGCTCTACAACAATGATGTACCTAAAAACAATATGGACTTGAAAATCTCTCCCCTGTATCAAGATTATGGGTAATAATATAACATTTTCGTGAGTTTGTGTAGGCTAGTATTTAGTATTTTGAGAATACAACAAGTTTTCATCTGTTTCACTGAAAGAAGTTCCTGCTCAAATATCCTTCTCCACATTGTGATACACTGTCTACACATACAGTAGGTTAATTCTTTTGAATAAAATATGAGAATAAGACCAACCTGTCATCAGTAAGAAGACTTCTGATAGTCTTAGCTGCATTGAGACGTTGCTTTACATCCAAGTAACTGGAGGGTTCATCAAACATGTACCTAAACAAGAAGAAACTGATATACAGACTGGACTAAAGACAGACTGGACTAAACAACTGTTCATGACAGCGTTAAACAGCTTTAACATCAAGTGTAGGGAAACATGTTCCTATCTAATACTAACAAAGTTTAAGATCTATTAAAACTTACACATCAGCCTGTTGTATACAGACGACAGCACAAGCAAAGCGCTGCAGCTCTCCTCCTGAAAGCTCATCAACATTTCGATCACGTACAGCAATCAAGTCTGAAATGCAAAATGTGTTAATATTATGTATTAACTTTGTTTGGCAAAAGAATGACTTCTTTTTCTTTGAAAAAAAAAATATGTAAGAGAATTTTTAGAACATACTAAATACATGAGATAAGAGTCAAAATAAATGCATTTAGTACATACCTAATTGTCTACATATTTCCAACTGACTCTCAGTTTCATCTTTTCTGTCTAGAATAGACTGGACACTCCCCTATAATACAAACAAATAGATTACAACTAATGTCAAAATGTCTTGGAATTCATTCCTAAAGTTAAGAAAATGAAAATCTTCATCAAAGTTTTCCACATTTCTCTACCTTGACAGCTTTTGGGATCTGATCAACATATTGTGGTTTGATAATGGCCTGAATATGAAACAAAATATATAATATTTTAGAGTCTCAGAAAATGGCTAAGAAGCTATAAATGTGGAAATCTAGGCAAACAAACCTTCAGATCGTCCTCCAGGATTTTTGTGAAGTAGTTCTGTAATTCTGAGCCACGGAAATACAACAATATTTCTTGCCAGTCAGGAGGGTTCTAAACCACAATGCATAGACTCCATGAAAATGTTCTGTTCATGTAGTTAGCCTCTCTTATTGTAAAGGTTAGGGACAAAATCAAATGAAATGTAAAGCTGTGATACAATACTTACTCCATATCGTCCCAAGTTAGGCTTTTGCTTGCCAGCAAGAATTTTCAATGCTGTGGACTTGCCAATACCATTAGTTCCCACAAGCCCTAGAACTTCACCAGGACGAGGGATGGGCAATCTGTGGGAGATATGATAACAATGTAAGGCAACAGAAAACTGTCACAAAAAGGATGCYTCTGGTGTAAACATTTGTACAGTGCAATTCATAGCCAACAAGATATATCATCATTATTACAGTGCTTTTTGTCTCATTATTTTTGGTGTGCTATCATTTTGACACACCTGTGAAGTTTAAAAGAATTTGGACCATAGCGATGGGTCGTTTCCTTCTCAAGATTACTTGGTAAGTTGATGATTGCTATGGCTTCAAAGGGACATTTCTGTAAAACAAAAACAAGAAGTGCTATATAAATGCATGATATTTGTGAAATGTATTCATGATTAACTGAGGATTTAATATTTTTCTTTATGCAGCAAAAAATTCTTGTATTTCAACCAAAAAAGTTTTGAAGTTTGTTTGGATTCTCGGTTTACAAAGTTGAAATTTAACAGGTTCTCGCTGTAACTGACATAACGAGCAGTAGGATGGATGATGTTGATGACAACTGAGATCATGATGTTTGTGAAATGTGCATGTGTCATTAGTATGTTGTCTTTTACCGCGAATGAAAGACTAAGTGACAAGAACAGGCTCATAAGTAAGACTTAATTCAAGATTTGGGCTTAAGCTAAAATCGCACTTTTTCAAGCTTTAAAACTGCTGTAAAAATATTTTTGATAATTTTTCTTACCTTGGCACAAATACCACATCCTATGCACAAAACTTCCGAAATTTCGGCTATTTTGGATTCTGGAGTAACCACAATACATAATTTTCCTAAAGAATGTAATGAAAATCGATTTAGAAGAGGTAGAGAAAAAATACAAGTTTTTTTTCTGAGTGATTACGTGTTGTAAAGTACAGTATTCTTACATACCCGTGCCCATACGAACAACTGGACAAGATCTCTTACATTCTAACGCACATCTTTTTGGTTTACACCTATCTGAACTCACGATAGCAATACGGGTGAGTTTATCTTGCGTTGGTTCGGCAGATGTTTTGCGTTTCGACATTTTTATAGCCTCAAAATGCCTTTTGATTTACTACGACTTCCACAGAAACCGGCTTACCGGAAGATTCAAAATGGCTCCTTCTAAACCACGTGCTTTTGTCTGCGCGCGCAGAATTAAGATGGCGGGAAATATTATTTATAAAACCCAGTGTGTTTTTTTTTACTGATAATAACCCCTAAACAATCGTGCTTATTGTTTGTTTTTATTTTGTATTCATCAAACAAGTTTTATATATGATTGAAGCTACCAAAAAAATCAATGTGTGCGATAATTTCGGGAAGGTATTTCCGGTAGACCCAGTCTTTCTCAGTCATAGCTGTGTCCAGCATGGCTTCCAACGTGAGGTTTTCCTCACAATTTGGTTTACTTAGATACTTACAAACATATCGAAATTGCCCGACAATAACTCTTTTTAGGAGGTATTTCAAAACAGGGTTATGTCGTTCATTTGCCAAAACGATGCAGTGTAAAGAAAATCGTCCCTTGCTTGAGTATGTTCAAAAAGTGGAGAAATCATATGCAGGAGAACAAATGCCYAAGAATATAAAGCCTGAACGAAGAGGAGGACAACTTAATCACTTTTTGCATAATACACGTCCACAGATTCTAGGATTTGATGTCACTCAAGTGCAGCAAAGGGTTGAGATTTTGGAATCGTTTGGAATGGCTTCAAAAGATGCACTTTCTGTTGCCTTTGAGGTTCCATCTCACTTGGAATTCAAGAGAGAAACTTTAAAACCACTTGGTGAACTACTCAATAATTTAGGATGTAATCTCCCTAGGCTTTTCGTCAAAGCTCCATATATCTTTGGTATTGATTTTTCTACAATCGACTCAAATGTTAGACGTATAGAATCTGTAGGCATAAGTAGAGAGGTTATAGGGAAAGCCATAGACACTAATCCTTTGGTTGTAGTATATCCAGTCTCAGATAAGGCCTGTGAAATAATCAAAGGTCTATTATCATCATGTGAATTTGACGATGAATTCACTGACAGCAATAATTCAGATTTTAGGAAAATTAATCAGAGTGAATTTGCACTGCGCCTGTTGCTGCAGCCATTTGATGGAGCAAGGGAGCAAGTGGTACTTGGTGACAATTTTAAACAAGCTGCAAACTTCTTAAAGGAAATTCAGGTTTCACCGTGTCTGATGGTGCTCAGTTGTCCAGCATTCTTTTCCACAGATGTTGAGAAATTGTATGAAGCAGTGGAGTTCTTCACAAGTAGACCTTTGCTTTTTGAAATTGGGATAATTCAAAAGATGATGTTTACCAAAACAGAAGTGTTTTTGAATTTTGATAGGAAAGTCTTTGAAGAGAGAGTGAAGCTTCTCAAAGAAATTCTTAATACGCCAAGGCAACTTTATGTACTTCTACAAAAATATTTCTTTTTCCAAGGAAATGAAGTTGAGCTAGAGGACAATATCAAAATCCTTAAAAAATATAAATTCCCAAATGAACAAATTGCAGATATTCTAACGGCAAAACATTTCTTTACCTCAGGTGTGCCTGATCTTGAGAAAAAACTTAAGTTTTTGCTGTCTGTTGAAGGTATCAATGTAGATCTAATAGCAGAAAACTCCCACTGCTTACTAAAGACTCTTAAATCCCTTGAAAACAGGGTTTCTTTTGCKAAAAAATCAAAGAAAGAACTGTTAGAGAGCATCAACATGGAYAGTTTGTTTCTGTCAGATGATGTAGTATTTGCGACTGTCATTTGTGAGAGTTCAGTTGAGAAGTATGAGGAGTTAACAGGTGAAATCATCTCTCAGAAGAAATCAAAATCAAGACAGAAAAGGATGAAGGGAACAAATTGATTGAGTATTCACACTTATTTCTGATGAAGCGCACATGTAAATACAAAGAGGAATAATCCTAATTTGTTGATATCAATTCAGTCTTGGGTTCCCTGTTTTAGAAGATTGGAAAGCCTGGTATTATACCTGGTATTACATTATGCTATCAGCAAAAGAACAGAACAGAGCCAGAACACCATAAAGCTACAATTGACTTGTAGTTGTATGGCCAGTTAGGCTGTTGTACAAACCTGTTTTAGTGGATAAGATGTAAGCATGTTACCATGGAAAATCAATAAAATGTTTGTAATAAAAGCACTGGATTGCAGGYATTTTGGAATCCAATTATTCCATTTGATGTTGTTCTCTGACATACTAATATTATCATACAGGTGGTCTTTTATTTGTCAACTTTGTCCAATGGCCATTCATAGAACATGACCTTCTGTCATAAACAGCAGCATCTACACTAACATCCTGTCAGCATTGCAATGCAATTTTCGACTTCTGTATTCRATTATATACATGTACTGCGAAGGGTCATATAAGAAGATTAGATTAGATAGATCCCCCCTAATTTGTTCGCTYCTAAAATAAAGCGTCTTYCTTTRTCATTAAAATATTTGGTTTGATATTATTTGGTTTCTATGGAAATGATATGCTGCTTTCAACTGAAAACTTGTACATGTACCGACTGGTCAGACGTCAAGTGCACTTATCACCCAGATAAATGAAAGAAATTAGAACTTTCAGCCGAAAATTGCAATGTGTTTTCCTTGAAACTCATTTTCAATATACAAGGGCATTTCATTATCTGTCCTCCCCCCCCAAACCTCCCCTCCCCGCCACACACACACACACACAAACAGTAACAACAAAGACAAAGAGATTTCAAGTTTAATTCAATTCCTTAGATGACAAACTCGTAAGGAAGTGGTTGTAGGGTTGTAGGTTTATTTCTCTTTGTTTTTACAAAGTGGGCTGGACGAGGTTGGGCAGGCTGTGAAAAAAAAAACAAAACTAATGTTAATTCAATACTGTGGTTCCATTATTTCAAAAAAACAATCTTTCTAAAATATTATTCTGCCTTGTACAATGACAGCAGCAGAAACTAAAATCAGGTGAGGTAAACTTGAGTTCTCAAGGTATGGATCCTCTAATACTGTACCTGTCGTTTGCATTTGACAGTTGTGCCAGCAGCCTTGGCCTCCTTTTTCTTCAGTTCATTCTCCTTAACTCTCCTTCAAAATAATAAACACAAACCTGTGTTAACAAATGGGATATAGTTTTTCAGCAATAAATAACAGATTCAATATTACCTAAGGAAATCATCGCGACACTTTGAGTGCTTCACATGCTCAATGCGAACATTGATCTTCTTGGCCAAGATTCTACCCCTGGAATACAAAAACAACAAATTATTACCCAAAAATAGTTAACTCAATGTGGGCTGCATTGGCTTTTCACTAAAATGGAACATTAAAACAGAGAAAACATAGGGACAACAAACAAGTTTTCATTCTCTTTAATTGTGTACAACTGTGTTCTCAGTAGGAAAATAATTAGATGTTTGTTCAAGCAAAAGTAGCTGGATGTCTTGAGGATGCTATAACAAGGTAACCGCAAATAATAATTTTATCAAGTATCCAGTAATTAACTAGAGGTAGTAACTGGTGATTTTTTTTTCTGATAACCTGATACAATGAATAACTTCAAGGTTATTTCTATACATGTAAATAGTGCAGTCCTTAGCATGATAGATAACAAAATACAGATAACATTACTACTGATACCAGTTATTACTACTTGATTTATGAGTATATATACTATACAGTYTATAGAAGAACTTACTTGACTCTTTTGTTAACTACTACACCAAGAGCTCGTTTGGTGACATTGTACACTCTACCAGTTTTGCCATGATAGATTTTGTGTGGCATACCCTTCTGTATAGCACCATTAGCCTAGRAGGAAAAAATGAATTCCAGGTTTTATGCTAAACAGTATAATTTTAAAAACAACAGTGAAACCACTTGAATTCAAAAATTGAGTGGTSAAAAGATTTGTCCATCAAAATTGTYAAACTATTTACYAACAAATTTGAAGTACAATTAATTGTTGTTGTAACAAACACCCTTGTGACCATAGTTTAGTATCTACAATATCATGTATAGTGCTATGGGAGTTTTTTTCAGCAATTTCTTTGGAGTAACAATTTATTCGCGTGTCTGCAGCAAAAGAGTGTAAGAAATATAAGGGTATCTTAAAGCTAAAATTAAAATATTTTTAACTGCAACACTGACTTCTGGGTCCATCTCCTCCTAACTCCTTCCAGAAAATCATGCCTGACAAAGGGAATCAGAACTGAATAGGAGTAAAATGGAGAATATGGGTATAGAGAGCAATGAATGACCTTTTATATGGTATGTTCTCTAAGATCAGTATTATTTTTTTAAGAGTTGGCTAAGTACTCGAATTAATAGGCCCACATCCCAACTTTGATACAATGAAATCAACTTACTTTGACGTCGACTATATCAGCAACTTTGTAGGTTTTCATATACGTCGACAAGTGAATAACACCTTAAAATATCACGATAAAATAACAAAGGTAAATTAATTGTAGAAATCATAAAACAAGCAAAGGGTTACACTGTACGTACCACGACGCCTGAAATCCCTAGAAAACATATACCGAGTTCCTCGGCGATACCCAGTCGTGTTCACCATCTTGATAGATGCTGGAGAGAAATGAATGYTTAAGTATTAAAAACAACATAAAATCTATATGCGTTAGATTTAATTTAAGCTAGAAATCTAGGGTAATATCCACTCACTTTTCTACCACGTGAACCCTTRTAAGATGGCGGATGAAAAAGAGAAAGATCATTTACATACGACTCCCAAAATGCACCACGCGTGAAAGTCCTACCTAGGCCCCTCTCATTTCTTTAGCACAGGTAGCCCTAAACTTTCATMTCTCCACRTGGATAAAATGTTTATTTTTATCAGTATTATTTAAAATACTAATATTATCAAAATGTAAATCTGTCGTGTTTCTGACCCTTACTTAGTTAGTTTAGCTTCCTTCCCATCTCCAAGCCTCTTTACTTGAAGGCCAGGTTTCTAATGACTGCAGACACCACGGACAAGTTTCTTTGGACTCTTTAAGTTGGTAGACTCTCCTCAAAAACACTCGCTTGTATGGCGGGGTAATGTATTTTTTGCATAGATACCTACATGGCACTAGAGCTGAACGTCTCAGACTGTAGGAGCCGACGGGGTCTGTTCTTCTAAATAAGGTAACTGTTCTTGTACGAATTTTTTCTGGGAAAAGGGATTTTGAGCTACATTGTTGACAATCCGCACAATCAAACGTGGTGCCCTTCCTTCTTTAAAATAATTTTGTTCCTGGCAAACGTTTTTAAGATCAAATAAGGCTTATATAACGTATTCTTAGGAAGTTTTCCTTGCATGGAGATTTCTTTTTCCTTACACGATCCTGAATTCTATTTCTTGATGGCAACCAGTTTTGACACTGCTGGCTGGGACAGAGCAGATATATTTTTCTCAGGAACCCTTCGGCTCCAGGCTCCTCCTAGACTGTCATTCCCTCCATGCATGCCTCGGGATAGAACAAAGCATTGATCCTCTATTTGATATGCCCAACGGCTTGTTCCTTCACTCAAGTCTCAATGACGATAATTTTGTTTCTTTTTTTTTACTCTGGACACATTTTCGTTGCAACACAGGTGGTAATACATTAGAGTTTTTTTAAAATACAAAAAAATATTCAGCTTGACATATGTCAACTTTTGGCAGCATGTTTTTATACTCTAGCTAAATGTCCATGATAATTGTTCATTACACATTCTTTCAGTCCACTGACGCCGTCTACATCTCTTGCTCCTTTGTCTTTTTCTGCCTAATGACGTCAATGACTAGCCCGGAAGTCCAGGTCACAGGTAACCATAGTAAACAACACATTCAGTAAATCCGGAAAATTTGATCTTCAATTGTTGTTTTGATAATACCTACATAGAAAATCCCATGAAAACATGGAAGTTAATAATAAAATGTGTTGAGGCATGTTATTTTTCCATGAATATCTTTTCAGGAACTCAGTTCAGTGACTGCTCAAAACATGGTTTTCCGCGAAAACATGAATGATACATAACTACACCTATTTGAAAAAGCGTTGTCGGGCTCCAAAGGGTTTCAATATTATCAAAATCAAAGCTGAAGCAAAATTGTAGGTACTTGAATAAGATGGGCAGTTCTCAACGAGCAACATCTATAATGTGGCATGTTTAGGCAATGATTCAAATTTCTGAGTGCTGAAAAATCCCCTTCGAAGTTTTAATAGCRCACCTTTTAGCGACCTGACAACGTTTTTCCAATTAGCTGCGTATCACAGGATTGACTAGTGAAATTAAGACGAAACTATACTAGCTTCCCAATTATTTTTCCCGTTTTTTTGTGCGGACTAAGTATGCCTATTATTTGAAAATAGCATATTAACTATTGATATCGGCCCCTGAGTGGCCTATGTCAGTCACACACATCAAGCCTCAAAGACTCTGTGACTGATACTCTTTGGATCATTCTAGTTCCATGGCAGAGGCGAATCCAGAATTTTTTAAAAGTAAATTTGTTGTTTCTCCGAGTATAAAATTCTTTTGTGTTAAAAAAAAACAACAAAAACAAAACAAAACAACAACAACAACAACAACAAAACAACACTCCAGAAATGAACATATCTCAAAAACTGATAAAGCCTCAAAAACGGATTCCTTACTGACACACATGACCTTACATGTATTTCTAGCTTGAGTGAAGCGTAGAACCCCGGCTGTAAATCAAGACCCCCTCCCTTTGATCCGCTGACGATCCGGAACACTGAACTGCAAGTGCATTCGGACCTTTTTTTTCGGTGTAACGTCAGGGGCGGATCCTCGAGAAATTTGGAAAACAACTCGGTCACTATGCAGTATTGGTATATTGAGGTAAGACGTTTAGGGTGTTTGCCCGGTGCCTCTGTAGCCATTCTCTAGTCAAGCATGCACGCATTAATGACGAACAAGCAACGCTCTATCAAAAGTGGAAATATAAATCTTGTCAGTTTAGACAGTCACCCTGTCAACACAAACACTGAATCACAATCMTCCGTCACAGCCTCTTCCATTTTTCTGAGACTGAGTCAGTCCATATCAGAACACTAGACAATATGCTCTTCCTCAATGATACTATAGTGATACAGACGGTAAAACCGAATGGAACATCCGGTTTGAGAGGGCACTACCCCTCTCCTGGATTAATATGTATGAATTACTCATATGACGTCATACTACATAAATACAAATGCATGCTTTATAGTGATTTATGGTACTCGTGGCGACAGGCACTCAGGCGGTGAGTACTTGGTTTTCTCACTGTTCGCTTTGGTAGGTTTTCAGWGACATGGCAAGTCATTACGAAATTATTAATAAAACTTTTTTATCTCGGCCTCCAAGAAACTCTTTAAGACCGGAAGTGGATTAAGTACCATATGTAGCTCAAGTTAGGGGTCATACGTCATACCCCAAGGATATCGCCGAAAAGTATTCAATGAGTATAAAGTAACAAATTTCAACTCTTTCCTGAGTTCTTCTGCATCCGAGTAAGCCAGTRTCCTTCGGTGTTGTGCGCAATTTTTGAAACGCGTGRTTTTGGAGTAATATCAACGTCGTTATCAATTCAATTTACGCTTCACGGGTCATTGTCGAACAGTACTTGATCAAGGTCGAAGGAATGTTTGCTGAAGTGTGCGCGCGCATGTTCGCTAAATCGCCAAGCACCTTCCAAGTTGTACGCTGGTTCCCCGCTTCAGCTGATAGTTATGAAGATGTGCCTATTACAATGGATATAATCGAAGGTCCAGTTCGTTACAGGAGAAGGAAGAAGGTAAGACYTGTCTCATGAATGTTGGTATCCCGCCTGGAGTCCTAAATCTTTTCTTTCTCAAATCTCTGCAGTGGAAGTCCAGATGGGCTGTTCTCCGTAGAGTCAATCCGGCCTCTGGTAAGTTCCAATCTGCATGTGCCAGCTTCTTAAGAATTTGCGTCAGTGCAGAAGGCAAAATAACTTACTTTTATGTATTTTTTCAAAGTCTTAATCGGACAATTACAGTAATTAGTCTAAGAGTTGTCTTCGATGAATCACTCTTTTCTGTAAAGCGCTTATCGCGGTGGTGTATCGCCAGATATTATTTACGTGGATCAACTCATTCAAAATACTAAACACAGAACCGAGAATGTCTTTGGATCCTCGATGTTTTATCATTAATATGTTATATAGTTAATAGAGTTTTTTGAGTTGCTCGTTACGATTATTTTCTCCTTGAATATCTTGCAATGCCTGGACTCAGTGCTGTTGCAATTTCGGTGAATCAACTTGTATTTACTCGCAATAATTTCAAGAATCTGAAGCCTTTAACAAGGCGATGAGTTTTTAACAATCAATTTATGTGATGTACAGTTCATAAACACAAAASCTTGGAGTGTGCTAAGGAATTCTTGGTTCGTCGTGTTACAAACACGCGTTCTAATCCTCAGGTCACTACGCTGCGACAAACCAAGTTAAATGAAAATAAAAATGAATMAGGCAAGTGAAAATGGAAGACCGACGCAAAATTTTCATTTGGATCAATRACTCTAGAATGCGTGCATTAGAATGGCTTCCCTGCACTCGAATGGCTTTTCACAATATTGTGTTTACGTGATAGAGTAGTGGCAACAATGCTTGCTTCTCTATTTTAGCACTTTCATTCTAAAAAAAATCCCCCTTTGTACTATAAGTGATTTTTAAAATAGAAGCGAACAGCCGATCAAGTGCTGTTAAAGAGAACTTAATTTCGTGTATTTGAATCATGTTGCTCTTGCACATTTCTCTTCATGATCAATCGAATTTATAACAAGCCAATTTGTTATTTAAGTTATATTTTTCTGTGTACAGTGCTTCAGCAGTTATCCTGAGGGTCTTTCGTAACGTATGGTATTTTTTTCTCATTCTTTTATAAACATCAGCAAAAGTTTTAACGTTTTCTTAAGCTTTATTATTCAGTTAATGTTGACAGCTCGTATTTCATAGTTCTTCGTGTAAAAAGTTAATTTAATAAGCGATTGTGGAAATTCATTCATGGCAAGGTGTTAGTCTGATATAGAATTTCATTTATTGTTTTCCTTCTAAACACTAAGAAACTGATATATTCTTGTTGGACAAATAGATGGGAAAAGCATGACTTTCTGGCAACAGCAAAATGATGTCCAATTTCAGTGTTCTTCTGTTTTAATTTTGTTCAAATGTTGACATTGATGTCAAATCCTCATCCGTTTCAGCAAAGTAGGCTCTTTTGTCACTTTGTTTATACCGTTTTGAATAAAAAAACGTTTTTGATATCAAACTTTTCATTAACCAATGATTCATCCTTTGTAACAAAGGAAATATACAAAAGTAAAATGTACAGTACTTCCTAAAGTATTCATTGTCAATATTTTTGTATATATACATGTAGAAAATTACTCAATAAGCTATTTATATATTTTCATTTTCCAGTAAACACATCATATTTTAAAGAAGCCATATTGCTCTTAAATGTATATAGTATATAATTATACTACAAAATGTTAAATACAGAAAATAGTCTGTTTGTTTCAACAGTAAATATTTTTATAAGCTGGTCTTTCGTTGTCTTAAAAATTCTAGATTAATTACTCAAAAATTACTCAATAAGCTATTTATATATTTTCATTTTCCAGTTAACACATCATATTTTAAAGAAGCCATATTGCTCTTAAATGTATATAGTATATAATTATACTACAAAATGGTAAATACAGAAAATAGTCTGTTTGTTTCAACAGTAAATATTTTTATAAGCTGGTCTTTCGTTCTCTTAAAAATTCTAGATTAATTACTCAAAAATTACTCAATAAGCTATTTATATATTTTCATTTTCCAGTAAACACATCATATTTTAAAGAAGACATATTGGTCTTAAATGTATATAGTATATAATTATACTACAAAATGGTAAATACAAAAAATAGTCTGTTTGTTTCAACAGTAAATATTTTTATAAGCTGGTCTTTCGTTCTCTTAAAAATTCTAGATTAATATAAATTGTACAATCTATTGTGTACATTTTCAATTGCTGACTTTGTATAATTATATGTATTATAATGTTTATGATCTAGAATCTTTGTGTAGAGATTTAAATGTTCTTAGATTTATAATTGCCACAATATTTCCCAGTGTCCTCAGGAAATTTGTTTTCTCATTTTATCTTCAGTGCAAATCTCTTGCGAATTACAATCATTACTCAGTCATTAACTTYATTTTATGATTTCTTAATACACCCGTATATAATCTGTACCTAAATCTAGTCAAATGCACAGCAGAATGTTGTATACCCTAAAACTTTTGAAACAGTGTTATTTATGGCTGTCCTAATTTATATTTTAAAGACAAAGGCTGTAAAACCACCTGTTTCAAGCTGTCTTGAATTAAGGTTTTGTAATCTGATAACAGTGTTATAATCATGTCAGTTGTCATTTAAGCCTTTTAACTAGAATGCAACTTAAAATCTGCTATCTTTTTTTAATCTATCAGTGGTATTTATGTTGGAGTCTTATTTTTAAAGCTTGCTTTTGCTCATTTACATATTTTCTGTGTATTATCTAGGATTTGGTGCTTGCATAGAATACATATTAAACTTGTTTTAAATGTAAAAGAATCATGGAAAAATGAAAAACAAATTTTTGTTAGTGACTTGTAAGTCGCCCTCCATAAATGGCCAAATTTCTAATTTAAAGGCTTAAACAGAGGGCTGTCACAGGCAACCTGCGACCCCCCTTTAAATATACCCCTACCACTTCTTATACAACTTATATTTATACTGTATTTTGGGGAGGGACAATTCCCTTCCCACCACAAAAGAAAGATCAATGAACTGAAAAAAATCTCCAAATATATTGCAGAATATTATACTGGCAGGTTCAACAAGCCACTTATTTGACCCTGACTAGTCCAGTATTCTGGTTTACTCTACRCTACCCTATTGCATATATTGCACTATATCTCTTACCTTAAAATAKGAATTTAATTTTGTACTTAATTCATGCATTATCAATATGAAGACATTTACATACTCTAATTGATTATATACTATTGTTAACCACAAGGTCTGTCATCAAATAAGGAATGGGWTTGTTTTGACCTCAAATACAACCAAATAAACTACATAAAACCTTAAAGAAATAGCAGCTGCTYCCATTCTATCATATTACAGACAAGGTGTCTGTCATAAATGCATATTCACAGTATGTCAGAGAAATAAATCCGTAAACCATATCTGCTAATACACTTTGTTTTTATAAAATAAAACTCATGATTATCAGCAGCAAAACTTTTTAAATGCTTTGAACTCTTAAAGACTAAAGATGCAATGGAAAAGAGATTTTCCATTTTCCTATTAACCTGTGGAATATCATTTGTAAAAATCATCTGTAATATGATCCTTCCTTTTTTACACACAAGTGTCGTGCCAGCTGAGTCCCCATTGCTATATAATATTGTATTTTTTAACACATTCTCCTAAATAGTTTCCTATTTTTTGTTCTGCTTATTGGTGACACTGTATCAGTAGTGACTTAATTAAAAAGGCTTAAACTTAGACAAGTGTCATTTAGGCGGATGTGATAAATATGTTGATTCTTACATCTTCAGATGTTCTTAACCTTGTGCTGTACCAAGATCAAGTCAGTGCGAGATCAAGACAAAAAGAAAAGGCCTTTATTTCATTAGAATCATTCTCTGGGCTGCAGCTACTCAACAAACTAGACAAACACTACAACATTATCATTGCCATCACAGCTAATCAAGTTGTCAAGTTGAGTTTTCCAACTATCGAGGAGAGATCTGAATGGGTAATTCACTTACAGAGACATTTTGGACAAGGTAAGGAAGCAGTCATTATTTATGTAGAGGAAAGGTTGGAGGTTTCTTTGTGAAAGATTATATTTATTTTGAAGAACTTTTTTCCATTTGAAGAAATTTGAGATGAACGCACCCCACTTCCTCAGCAAAAATAGACACATACCTTTTCAAAGTCATTTTCTTAAACTATCAATGTGTTGAATATCTTTATACTCTATCCAACCCAACGGGTTGTTTAATTTATGAATACCTTAATAAAAGTCTTTCTGGACCTCTTTGTACCATATGCAGCCTTTTGCTATTTTAATGTAGATTTGGCCCAACAGCTGTAGAGCATAATTTTGGTTCAGGGCCCCAACAACGACCAATGGAAGAGAAAATAAAAAATAAAATGGAAGAAAGAAAGCCCCCCTGCTTTGTGATTGATCCCTGTATTTGCTCCTAATTTTTTCATCAACCCCTTAGAATATTAATTAAAAAAGCTTGAAATTTTGACTTTATATCATTTATTTCTTGTAGAGCAATCATTTGATGGTATAATCCCAAACAAACAAAAGATTAAGTCAGGCGAAGCAACACTTCGCTTCTACAAAACGTTTTTTAGTCTGACAAGAAAGGACAACTGTCGRCATATTGGAAAATGGAGTTTTGTTGACTTACCTCACTATGGAGCTGTGTATGGGGCTTTTGCATTTGAAGTGAAAGAGGGTTCTTCTGGGTCAACCCAGATGTATTACTTTGCTACWAAGCATGGACGAGAACTACATCAGTTATTTGATTCTGTGTGTAAGGGTACTGTACCTGTTGATAACAACTATGTTGAACCACCTGAGTTAGGTAAGACTGGCTAATTTCAGTTGAGCACCTTGCGCAAGTGATTGCTGATTTACCTTTTGATTCATTCATTCTTATTTAGTCTGGTTGATTGATGATAGATCAGCGATGAATAAATCCATGAACATCTAATTGTTTAAACTCGGCGATGCCTCGTGCTGATTTTTTCTTGTCTTCAACAGACTCCCGTAAAAATCTATGAGTCAAATCTGTACATAGTGATGCAGAGACTCCGTGCTCCTCTAACTATAGACATTTGCCTCATTTTGTCTAATGAGTATAAGAGTTAAAAATCCTCATCTTTTTCCGTCTTACTTTGCGTTAGACGGCTTGTAACACCGATGCGCCGGTTGTTCGAAGGATGGGTAGTTTTGCAGGGATTTTATCCACTGGATAAGGATTTCAAATCCTTGATCCGGTGGATACCGCTTCATTTTTTGCCGATTATTGTTGAAATGAAGCTTTTAGCGATTGAATTTCTTAATGTAATATATCCTCAATAAATCGTCTTCTAGTTTGCTGATAATGCAATCGGTTCATTTATTTTTCCATTTTTTCCCTAGATCATAAAACTCAAAGATCAATTAGTCAACCAAATGAGGAAACGAGCAAACCCAACGTGTTTAAACGAGCTTGGCTGCGAATGAGCCAGAGAAAAACAAATAAAAAGCGACCACGAAGTCAAAGTGAGCCTYGAGCGAGAAGACGAGTGCCATCACACGAAAGAAGCGCTTTAGCATCTAGAGAACTTCCAGATGAACCCGGAAAGGAGAAGCAACAAACGCCGCAGAAGCCACAAGATAGTGAAAGTCGAAACTCAACAAGTCGTCGAATGACAACCCCAGAAGGGTACGAAATAATGGACGATGATGTTGCTGAATCTTCCACTATTTCACGGAAGAACAGAACAAGCCGAACGTCAGAGACTTCAAGTGCCGATGGGACCGTAATCAGTCGATCGTCAGTGCCAGATAAACCTGCTATTACTGAAGAACCAGATGACCCTGATGGTTATGTCATGGTCGATGGAATGGACATCGAAGAAATAGTAAAAGAAGCTGAGAGAAGGGTCCAAGAAGAAACTAAAAGAGAAGCAGAGAAAGAGATTAGTGCCCAGAAGGAAAAAGCTGATAACGAAAGTGCTGCGCGGTTGTGTGATGATACGTTGACTGGTGCGAGTGCTCAAGAAGTCAAGGATCAGGCGTCATCAAGTGTTAAGGCAAATGACGAAAATGAGAAGTCAGAAGTCGAGAAGCGGTCAGAAAGTAACGAGAAGAAAGATAATCGTGGAAGTGTAGGTTATGATAACGTTGACCTGCCATTTGCAGCTCCACCTGCAATGGTCGAACCAACCGTCACTACCAAWTCTACTCCCAAAGCACCGGTCCGACCAAAGAGCCTCGACACCAAGCAGGAGGTGAAAGTCAACGTGAACAAAAGTCGAAGAGGAATGAGAAAACCTCCTCCAGATATCATTCTTTCCCCAAACGACGTSTCCAGCCCCGAAAGTCCGTACGTTAACTCGCCGCCTTTGGTGAAATCAGTCGACTATGTTAACATTCCAGGCAGTAATTCGAGAGGGTTTAGTAATGGCATCAGAAATAGAAGCAAAATACCAAATAGTGGTAAATCCTCAAAGAAACTACTTAACCCTTATGAAAAATATGACGGTAACGATGACTCCATATATCATAGTGTAGAATCTCTYCTCCCAGGGAATCCTGCCTATCAAAACATACGGGCTGAATCGAATCGTAGCCAAAGCTTTGACAATATTCATGGACATGCCTATAGCAATCTACCTGGTCATGCTATGAACGGCCAGACATACCAGAACATTGGACCAGCAGGCCAGCAGGCGTATGTTAACGTAACGCCTCGAAGGAGAAGATTTCAGAAAAACGAAAATACCCATCAGTTGAACTATATCCAGGTAGAAGGAACGGATGGAATGCCTGGTCTGTCGGGACAACCATCATTTTCAGCACCGGTTGAGCAACAAAACTCAGCAAAATCACCATCCAGTGAATACACGTGGATTGACGAGAGTCGAACACGACTTCTAAAAGAAACGGCTCGTATGCATTCGGATTTACGAAAGGAAAACCTACCAAAAGTGTCAAAGAAATATTAGCTTAGTCCTTAAATTAAAAGTGCCGCAGACGATTGGAAGAGGAAATATGAGAAATGGATTGTAGAGTAATGAGAATCTTGGAATTCGCAAAATTGGACTCGGGCCCAGAGAGATGGATTGAGGCTTTTTAAACATGCAATTTTGTAGGTAAAAGAAAACTAAATATCAATTGATGACTGATATCATCATGTAACATGGCAGCCATAGCTTGCAAACGTATCTCTCACAACGGACTGGAAACTGTCACGGCTTATCAAAGAAAGTATTTCTATGTTCAGTGTCTTCTTGACAAAAGTTAGCGACCGCTTACGACCTTCAAACAAATTAAGTTAGAAGTAGAACGAAAAAGAATGCTTTAAGTAAAATGGGCCTTCTTAATCTGAATTTCATTCCTTATCACACGGAAAACTACTTGAACTTTAGATACAGGAATTATCTCACGGATAACCATTGATCATAAGGACTGAGTATATATATTGACTTGTGGGATCTATCCTGTTGTTGCTTAGCTATAGCTGCTATGTACTGAGCAGTGGGTTTAAGTCAACTGAGACATGATTGAAGTGTAGATGGCTTAGGAAAAAGGAAACGGTAAATGTGATAAACTCWTGTGAATTTTAAGCTAGAATAGTAACGAACGTATTATGAGTGCCTTCGCAGYCARGAATAGGTCTCATTCTGGAGTATGGTTAAGGTCTAAAATGCWATCATTTGGTAWATAGTTTTYTAAATGGTCGTTTTCCTTAATGACGTATTGCCTGTGTTTTGGCAAAGTGCATCTTGGTAATGATAAGAGAATCAAGATGGCGGTCGTCTTTTTAAACCTGCAAAGGACCAAATTTCTTTGCGAAATTAACGTTATCCGTTGTCGAGAACGCTTTGGAAGAACACTAAATAAGATGTTTTCTGTCACCTTAAAATGTGCTTCAAAGCATTCTCGAAAATGGACAATGCTGTTAATTTTGCAAAGACTTGGGCTTTCTCCAAGGACACTTTATTGTCGGAAATGTTTGCATTATGAAAATGTCATGTTACAATCACTGGTTGCCAAAAGCGTTAATGCCGGGAAGTGCACCAGATATAAGAGTTCTTGTGGATTCGAAAGTCAAACAAAGCGGTCTGCAAACATTTTCGTCATGGTATGGACAAAGCCTTATATATTAGGGACAAAGATAATTCTGTCCTTGCATGGGTCTTGTGGTGTGCTACGCSGGTATTGGAAACAAATTATACAGCTGTAATATACAAAATTAATGAGAATATTTGGCAAATTTTAGTAGATAGTTTCTATCATTTTCGACGATTTTGTTTTGTATCTTTTTTATACCTTACATCACCAGTCATGAAGTCAACTATATGTCATAAATAAAACTTTATTGGTAAACAAAAAAAAGCCTGTGAGTTTATATGTGTATATGTGCGTGTGTGTCAATGTGTGTGTATCCACCAAGTACACAAAAGCCCCGTATAAAAGTGACTTAGATTTAGAGGGGCRGGGCCATTCGTTCTCCAAAACAGTCAAAGTTAAACCCTTTGAAATAAGGTCGTATTTCATTGGATTGGCGGGTGAAGGGGGTGTTAACTCCCCTCACTGGAAAAAATCGCGCGCTTTTTTTTTCTTATCTATCAGCGGTGTCTGACATTTTCAACAATGGCGGCCATACATTCTTATATGGTGGGAGGGGGTAGCCTCCGTAGCAGACGTTCCAAGCGGTTCGCTAGGGAGGGGGGGGATAATGTGCAAATGGCATCAGCATTAATGGTTTGAGGGAAAAGAAGGCAAATCAACGACCAGACTACGATATTTACCTTCTTATAAAGATATTTAAAAGCGACTATTTTCTTCCTTGAGTAGTTTCTTTTGTACGTTGTTTGCATTTATTTAAAGTTAACTGAATTGAATCCTCTGACCATAATTTCACTTCATCATTCCACATTCTTACACTGATCGAATTATTAAGCGCCATCTTTTTTTATGTCGTAACTTTTAATCAGTTTTGNTTCAACTATACTATGTGCAGAATGCGTGATATAAGAAAGGGTTTCCAGACCAACCGGAATACCCCCCTTTCCCATATCGCCCTCGGGAACTGGGGTATGTGTATACGAGCTCTGTGTGCGGTAATAATATAAAACTCATCTGGAAGGTTAATTCATGTCTGAAAGTAATATTTCTGTATCTCTGGAGACAAGTTTTGAAGYCAAACCTACATTACATTAGGGATTAAAAATAGTCTTTTAAAAAATACTATGACTAATCGGACTCTAGCGAATGCGAAGGCTAAAAGACTATTCTGAACTCAATGCAAGGTGTGTCAGTTCCAGTTCGAAATGCTTTGTCGTGGCACGGCTAAAAGGATTCTTTAAAACTAAAGTTGTTTGATAGAGTAAATGATGTAAAAACGTGTATAAGGTTAAATTCCAGATAGTCTTAAAAGGATTTCAATGTTCAGTTCAGTAAGGGTGACTATGATGAGCTCTGCATCTTAGATGGACGCCACTTTAATGTGCGGTGTCCAATAGCAAGAATGAGCCGGATTTGTCCGCAAGCTATTTTGTAACACAGAAGTTGAGTATTCAATTGATATTCAATGATTCAAGTTCTTGCTCCTTCTTGTATTTTTCATCAATCCCATGCTGTGTTTTTGTAGTTATTAAAAGTCTAGCTTATGTTTTAAATGCAAATTTCCATTCGCCGCGCCGATATGATATATAATCCTCGCCAAATTGACATATCGGAAATTATGCAGACCTGATTAACACYTAGTTTACACTTCTCATTTGTCTCTTCAAGTGAAAGCGCCAGGGGTTTTCATACATGGTCTACGTGGGCTTGATTTAAAAATTATAACTATGAAGCGACCCCAATTAGTGCATCTAGCAATAAATATACAAATAAGGAAAAGGTCTATTTTCTTATTCAAGRACATATCAGTGTATTGAATCAATTTTTGGCGCCAAAATTTTATTCATTTCTGCTAAAAGTGTCTTTAGATTGATAATATCATTATTAGTGATCGTGGTTTCAGTCATGACCATGTTTTTTTCACATTCATCTTTCGTTTTGCATTTCTTTATCTGATATATAACCCTATACTGTAGTATTTTTAGCAGGAATTTGCACAAGTACTCTGGTAGAGGAATTTCATTCAAAAGGTGTTTTCGCTCATGAATGACGCATGGGCATGACCAGTCCACCTACTTTGCACCTGCCCGAATTGCGGTCACTGAGCAAGCGTTAGAATATATGACAGTGAGTTACACTGTTTTATGAATATATACAATTACATTTTGAATAGATTGCGTGTGTTTTCATTCATCAACGTACGACCCCCGTCCAATTAGTGGGATCTTTTGATAAATATAAATGTATCTTTCATTTTTTTCTGATTGAAAATTATCAGTTGAGTCAAGTGTCACATTATTAACACTAGAGTATCTTAATATGTTCATTTTTCATGTTTTTCTTTCACTCTGTACACCTTGCATATTCCTTCCTGCGCTTGAGCGCGTGGCAGTAAAATAACTTTTTGTCACGTGACTTGTTAAATATTCCTCGAGGCTGCGGTGTGTTCTAGCAAACCATTTGGTTGACCCGGCCGATGCAAGGCATACTGGTTTGAATAAACTAGGCTACAGTTCGATGATCTGGTGATCGACGTATTCTTAATCTTCACACTAGTAGTATTATTAAACTTTAGTTGGCCAAAACAGGGTGAAAAGAGCACGAAAACATGGTCGCGACTCAAGAACGAGAAACATGGGTTGGAAAGCTTGATTTTATTCTCGCTTTAATTGGATTCTCTGTTGGACTTGGGAATATCTGGCGTTTTCCATATCTATGCTATAAAAATGGTGGAGGTAAATGGATTTGTTTTGTGRAAACAGCTCAGTGTTTTAGCCACATAAGAACAGTTTTTAATTTATTAAAGATTTCGATTCTAACTTCATTTCGTATGAGAGCGAAACATTAAGCTTAGAACTCGTTTCAACGCCTGTAAGCGGAATCTTCGATAACCTTTTATTATTGACGTCTTTGAAATTGCTCTAAGTTCCTTGTTTAAACCAGTACATCGTTTCAATGACAAAGATACTGTATAGCTATATGACAAAGAGCAGAACTTAATACCTTCGAGCGGTTTCTTCGCTTTGACGTGCCTATACCCCTCACGTGTTGAACAAAGGGTTTGACAGTCGCAGCATGGATCTCAGCGCATGAGTTCATGTATGGCTGCCTTGTCATGGGAAAACTATAGAAAACATTGCGATGTTAAACTATTGTACTTGTAGAATCCTGTCTTTGCTCTGTGGAATTGTGTTCTACTCTGCAAGTCTCAAGTAGAATATGAAGGAGTTCTTTTTAATACTGCTCTTTCATTTGAAAACTCTTWGCTTTTTGCGGTAGACCGGTTCAGTGGTCCTGGTTCTTTTCGATCTTCTCTAGTAGGCCTAGTAATGACATCATATTTGATTTTTCTTGTCTTTTATTACTTTTTGCCGTAGAAAATCTGATTTTTAGGGTTTTTTTTCACTTGATATTCGAATGGAATTTTCCACTCTACGTAACAAGCCCCGAGCTTCAATACAATTCTTTCTTGCTGGTTTATTCATTTCTTACGARATCCAAGCATCTACAGCAAAAAAGCCTAAATATTCATACTTTATTGCAAATTCAAAAAATGTTATTAACAGCGGAGCTTATTTTTGATAACAATTAATCCTCGCACATATCACGCTGTTTCCTCGCTGCACGATTTTTAAGCCACGGATATATCTCAAGATTATATTATGTTTATTGTTACTTTTGCTCGAAAACAACCTCCTGACTGCTAGTTCGTTGGATCTTGAAAAGCAAAACAGATTTTCATGTACAGTCCCATCATGATTCAGTTGTTCCGCCTCATTGAATAGACGTCACTCTTGATATTGTTCACTGAAAAAGGGTGGAGGGAAATGTTCTTTCATGTAAGTCCGTGAAGGAATTTTCTTGACCTTCCAAGATTTATTTGTCGACATGTACGATTATATTTAGGGGGACTATTGCTTTGCACTGTTGTTTCCCCTATTTTATGGCATTGGTCAAATATCTTGCAGTCCACCCGTTTGTCTGTTCATCTGAATCCAATACAGTATATATACAGATCAGAACCAATATAAAATCTAAGTAGAGACTTAAATCTGTTTATTATTAATGAACTGTTGTGGAATTTCAATGAGATAATATCAGACTAGTATTATTTAATAGAAGAAGTAGGTTTTGACATTTAATCAGGATACAGTCTATTCAATCATACATTTTGAATATATTATTGAAAAATAARAAGTTAGTTATTCATGTGTGCATAATTGACACAATGAACTTAGGTAAACCCTACCAATATAACAAGGTTTATAGTCTCTTAGTTTTGCGTACATTTTTAAATGATGACAAAGCAATAATTCACATTGCTGCTACAGTGAATCACTGCTTAATCATCAATTGTTCTACCATTGTTATTGTAAGTAGTGAAGTTATTTTAGTTAAAAAATGTGGCATCAATTGTTTAGAGATGTAAGGGTCAATCCTGTCATTCTTGTTTTGGTTCAAGAATCTATTAAATAAACCTGGTTATTTTCAAATAAAAATGAAATTATTAAAGGGAATCGTATGCCAAAATTGTGAATTCAATTTGGCAATAAACACCATGACCTGTGTGTTGCAAGGCACTCGTAATTTCAGCTTTGCGTTTTGATCAAATTTCACTCATGGATGCTCTCACAGCACGAATTAGAAAGCCTTTGTAATTTTTAGTCTACAGTCTTTTTTATGTTATTATTTACATAATTTGAGTGTTTTTACTCTCACTGTTGAATAGTTATGCAAATTAAGTTTTTTAGGTGACGTCTCTAAAATAGTGAAAGCTTGTCAATCAATGGTCATGTGATTTAAGGTMGATGGAACCAGTCGTCTACTAAGGCTTTACATCTAATACAAAATAAATGAGCAAGTTTTAACTTGTCATTTATGGGAATTTGCTTTGGTGCAAAATAAAATCATGAACATGTAGGCTTCTTGCTATCATGTTAGTACTCTTAGTATCTAGGAATATTATGAAAGATTCTCCAGATTTGTAGTTGTTAGAATGCGTGCAGTGATGTAAACATTGTCATGAAAGCTATATGAAAACCAGTAATTTCGCATGGAACCATGTACCAATCAAATGTCTTCCAAAGTGTCCTGTAATTCAAGTGTCTTCATTGTTGTACAGTCTTGGAGACATAAAAATTGGAGACACAAAAAAATCTAAGATTCCAGACATATTTTAGGTAACCACAGCTATTTTTCAATATGAATATATAAAAGCACCCTTTTTAAATTATGGGAAATAACCTAATTTTGTTAATAGTTATGGGCCTGATTTAGTTGACCTCATCTATTAAACAGAAGCCTAAAAGCTCTCTAGTATCTTGTATGAATATATAGCCTTCTATGTATACTTTTAAACATTATTACTTAAATTATCTACAGAACAATTCAAGAAAATACCTTCCCAGTTTTATTTTTAAATGATATCATGCTGTGACTCTTTTCTCCTTTATCCTGCTTGTAATTAGGTAGATGTTCTATAAAGATTTCTATCTTTGGCATACATTGGTGCAGATTTTTACCACTTTTTGTCATTTTAGGTTGRTTTCTGATTCCATACTTCATCTGCCTTGTTTTGGCTGGTGTTCCTCTACTTATCCTTGAAGTTTGTCTAGGACAGTTTATGAGTCAAGGTGGTATCACTGCATGGAAAATATGTCCTATATTTCAAGGTATACACTTCTGTGAAATGAATAATCATGTTTGATTTTTTCCTGGCTTACAACTGCCAAAGAAAAGAGCATTGTCATGATCAGCTTCCTTTTCTTCTTTATTTCCTTTTCTTTGTTTCTTTTTCTTTCATTCTTTCATTCTTATATTCTTTCTTATTTCATCTGTTAGTTTCTGATTTTATTTCAGTTTAACCTTTTTTGTTCTTGTTCACTTTTTTCTCATTGTATTTCCTTTTTCCATTCATTTCCAACTTTCTCTTCCTTTTCTTTCTTGATGTATTGATAATCATTGTTATTGCTTCACAGGTATAGGTTATGCCAGTGTGGTAATTGTCCAGTACTTGAATATCTACTACATTGTCATTCTTGGTTGGGCGTTCTACTACATGTTCCATTCCTTCACTGCAACTTTACCCTGGTCTCACTGTGATAATGATTGGAACACCCCTCTCTGCCATGTGGGCAAAAAACTAGTTGCAATGAATAAAACCTTCAATGCCACCATGAACAATTCAGTTGTTCTTAAGTATAATACTACAATGGTTGAAGAGAACACTAATTCACCTATAATGGAATTTTGGAAGTAAGAGTTAGATCTCAGCCATCAACTTCAATCCTAAATAAAATTGTTGACAATTGTACTATATTTACAATTGTTTGATCATCTCCCTCTCAGTATTCAACATGAAAAGAACAAGTGTTATTTGACATTTTTCWGACTTATTCTAGCAATGTATTTCAATTATAATTTTGGTTGTTGAATTGCAAGCTAACTTAACCAATAAAGCTTATCATTATAATCATTATTTGTCCAAAGGAGTGTATTTTCTGAAGTAGAGTGTTTCTTATACTATTATCTTTATTTCAACAGCTACAAGGTTCTTAACATCTCTAATGGTCTTGACGAAATAGGAACTATCAACTGGCAAATGGCTTTGTGTTTGTTGCTTGGATGGGTTGTCTGCTATTTGTGTGTCTGGAAAGGAGTCAAATCAACAGGAAGGGTCAGTATTACCATGATGACCTTCATCTTTTTGCACAGTTTCTCACAAAGTATTGTAGAGATACAATTATATTTCTTTGCATCATCATTATGGTTTCCACAAACCATTTTTTCTTGCAGGTTGTATATTTTACAGCAACTTTCCCTTATGTCCTTCTCACCATCATCTGTGTAAGGGCTGTCACTCTAGATGGTGCTGCAACTGGAATTAAATTCTATCTCCTTCCTGATTGGTCCAAGCTTGCAGTGGGTCAGGTATGCATCATGTTTTCATCACTTTCTACTCTAAAAGATCCACTTCCAGGTCTTATTTCTTTATTCTTTCGAATTTCCCTACCATTTCCTTGTTTTGTATTATGTTGACAGCATGCTCATTTATCTGGCTAAGTTTTTTTGGATCTTAATGTTAACCAAAATAAAATTCTATGATTGGTTGTTTGATGGTATTTCTTTCATTAGGTTTGGCTTGATGCAGCAACACAAGTTTTTTTCTCCTATTCTATTGGATTAGGCACTCTRATTGCCCTTGGAAGTTATAATAAGTTTAAGAACAACTGTTATAGGTTTGTGCCTAGTAAACTTATTGAGTTTACTTTTGTATTTCCAAGATCATTAAAACATCAATGTCACTGCTTTATTATACATATAATGACTGTGAATTGTTTGATAATATTTTTTGTTTGTTTTGTAGGGATTGCATTATTTTTGCCTGTGTGAACAGTGGAACTAGTTTTTACGGAGGTTTTGTAATCTTCTCTGTTCTTGGATTCATGGCAGAGAAGCAAGGAGTTCATGTGAAAGATGTAGCCGAGTCAGGTAATGTGTAATATTAGAAAACTGTCTGTCTATTCCAGGTAAGGATTATTGGGATATCATCTGCCCTGTGGTAGATGTCTCTATACTACTTTCACTCTAAACCAGACTACCCATCTTTTATGAGGTTATAGCGCGCTTTATGTGCAGGTAATTATTTATCAGGTAAGAAGCGACCAGCAGCACTGCCGCATGTATATTTGCACTAAGTGTGTTCTGACCTAAAGTTATCTAGTTCTTCTTGTAGTTTTTTAATGAAGGGGTTAGGGATTTCTATTCTCAGGGTATTCCTGATAATCCAGGTGAGTCTAATAAGCTTAACAGTGGTTTACCTTGACCCTTTCATATGAAAACTATACAGGAATGAACGAACACGTCACTGTAATCTATAGTCCAATAATTAACATAATACCTGATAGTTAAACAAATTTATAATGATAAATGTATTAATTCCATGTAATAAAATCGAGACTCCAAAAGAGTCGATGCTCATTTCAAGATGACTTGTGTGGTCAGAACACCAAGGGTATTTGTCACCACCCGACCGGGTGTGAGTTTTGCTGTTGTTGCTGATGTTGTTCACTATATAGGTCCTGGCCTGGCGTTTATAGCCTACCCTGCTGCCGTTGCCGAGATGCCCATTTCCCCACTTTGGTCCATCCTCTTCTTCTTTATGGTCATTCTGCTGGGATTGGATAGTGAGGTATTTTTGAGCAACTTGCCAGTAAAATTGGCAGTTGCCTTTCTAAAACAAGACTCCTGTTTATGGAGCATTCTAGATTTAAAGTCAATGGTATAGGTGAGAACTGAAGCTGTGGGTCTTATTCAATAAATTATTAACTTATGAGTAGATAATGAAGTAGTAGTGAATTGTAATAGGCATATCCTTGACCTTTTGTCCGTTGGTGATAATGTTATAGGATGAATAACCAAGGATGAATAACCACTACACTTTAAAATGTGTAAAACACTGTTAGAAAACAGTATTAACTATTTTAAACTGCTAACCATGTCCCTCAGTAATGAAGTAAGATAAAATTGAGGATTTTTTCTACTTCTTAGAATAAACAGATACAAAAATCGTTTGAAAGTTGGACTGGGTTGTTCTTGATATTCCCACAAAGGAAAAATTGTGTTCAGAGCAAGAGTGTTACATATTATGGATTCTCTAGTTCTTTTTCAAATAGAAACCAATGTTTTACAYGAAACTTGTTTAACCACATTATTTACTGGAAATCCAAACTGATGCATTCTTTTACTTCTTACATGAAAAAGATARTATAGATTAGTACTATGAGGGTTAACTGTGCATAGCCTGTCAAGTTATATAATTCTCTATTATCTAACATCATTAAAACATCATTTAATCTGTATAAGCATGGCTGGTACAGCTACTGGACTTCTAGACGACATCTTGATTCTTAATTTGAAAATAAATAGCTATATTAAAGATTTCCAAAAGTATTATATAATATYTGAGTACAGAAGTATATCACATTTTTAATTTCATATTTCTCATAAATTGGCATTACAAAACAAAAATACATCAATCATTACATTTTGAAGCAAGTTGTYTGATATGTGATGGCTGTTTAGTAGGTGTTTGTTGGAATCTAAAGGTGAATTTAAAGAATGTGTGTTAAAAGGTTATGATAATTATTATAAATGTTGTCAAATGTGGTGTGTCCTTGTAAACTGTAAAGGGGTTGATAAATATAACAATATCTAATATGCTAATAATAATATTGTGATCATAAAGTATTGTTAAATTGTGCATGAATTGCTGTAACAAATGATAAGCCTATCAAAAACGTATTGTCCAACTAAAGCTAAACTGTGTAAATGTGTTTTGGATTTTTATGTAAAAAAAATTAGTTTGAGTGGACTGTGAAGGTAGATGTACATATGTAACATTTGGTTAAAATACTCTTAACTCTTCACTTCTGAAGTGTCATCTTGAAAGGAGAGAGTGCCCTTGTATTGAATCGAGAGAGCAATTTGTTTTGATAGATACACTTTTCACCACAAGGACTAAGTTTAAATCACAGGTATCTATCATTACAAAGTCAGTTGTTATCTCCATTTGATGCAAAGGTATGTCTAGCTTTTCAGATGTCTCTCGGAGCTGTAAAATTCAAAGTATTTGGGGGCATGAACTTAAACAAATGTGTCTTCATTTGACTAAAGTCCAATGCTTGTAGCATTTGTATTACATAATATGCTGTTTTGTATTTTGCATGACACTGTCTGTGAAGGACTATAAGCCTGCTTCTTATTATAATACCATATCAGTGTCTATAACACTCAAATTTTGTATAATTCTGAATTATACTGTACAGTCAGTTCACTTGATGCTACTATTAAGATTCTATGAAGTGTATATAGCTAGATTTAACTGTAATATTATGTATACTTTAGGAATATGATCCACAGCTTTATAATGGCTTTGTCCTCTCACCTATGCTCACTGGCTCTTTTCTGCTCATTGGTTTCTGCAGGGAGACTTTCTCATGAAAACCCAAATTCATTAAAAAAAACAACAACTAAAGATAAATTTGCAAATTGCTTTTGGAGTAATCATTCTGTTGAAAAAAAAAAAAAAAAAAAATCAAGAAATAAAACAAAGTTAAAACAAAGTTACATTTGCATACATTCTTGTTATTCATGCTTGCCGACGAGTTTGTCTTGTATACCATCTTCTGAAATCTGCTTTACTATTAGTTTTGTTCTATTTAACCAATTGGCAATGCAAAGAAAGCATTCAATACTGATGTACCATATGCATGCATGCAATCTTGGCACCATTTCATTCCTGGACACTTAATTTCCTGGACACTTAATTTTGCACCATGACTCCATTCAAGTTTTGTGGGTTTCTGAGATGTTGTGTTACTTCCTGCCGATACAAATGAGCTTTATAAGTCATTCATGTAGTTGCTAGAGACAAGGCAAGGTTTTTCCCTGGTTTTGATCATTTTATCACTAACAACAAGTCATTAACCCAGCATCGCATCTTCTGTACTGTTTGACATTTCTAAAAGCACATCTTTGTCAAAAAGTGGGTTGTTTTGGAGCTCATAATAATGATTCCTTTTCAGCTCTGGTCAGTGCACAAACCATTCATTGGAATTGCATCTTTGACTGTCCTTCAYTGACTTTTGCGACATTTTTTGTTATCAAAATAATTAGTTTTTCATCTAAATTGTTATATATTAGATTGTTAGATTTAATTGTCTAAGCTTATTTGAGATACACAACCTATCCTGAAAAGAAAAAATATGATGCAAATTCCACGTATTCACAAGGACAGTCAAAGTGTTTTGTATTAYCAATGCAAAATATTAGAAAATGTTTTCTGATCTTGTCTTTGATGATTTTCTAATGCCACATTTTTCTATGCAACTATGCAGAGCTTGTCATTCACTAATAAAATCATRAGATTTCTTGTTYATGTTTCTCTACAKAATACTGGAAGTCTCTAGACYGCAGGGGATATGTTTYTCTGATTAAAAAAAAATCTTTAGGAMAATASTAAWTTTTTYATAACCACAATTTTTCTCATGCATTTTTCTCTCTCTTGCTGTCTYGAAACATCTAGCATTACTCATTGAGCTTTCCTTGTAGCTATGTACTAGCTTAACCCTTGTGGCAAMACCAAAATGGGCATTTTTGTGACAATTGCTATTTATAAAAATTGCTGTCTTGAAAAGCAAAACATTTCACTGATATTTTAGAGTTAATTGCAATACAACACAAGGGTTTTGCTTGTTGCAATGTACAATGCCTACTGAGCTTCTAAGCTTGAAATTGGCAGTCTTTTTGTTTGTGCTGTTTGTCAGAACATTGAACGTTTTCCTTGCTGTTCATGGCTCTTAATCTACTCTCCACTTCATTCTTGATTTTGATGTGTTAATTTTGAATGTAATAGGATGTAGTAATATCATTACTGCATGACATTCATTGGGAAACTAATATATTTTACAATAGATTTAACATTCTGGTTTACCATTTTGTTTATCTTGAAAGAATAACACTAGAAATGTCACACTTACTTACGATTGGCAAAGTAATGCTCCAAGTGCTAGTTTCACTAGGAAAACATCTAAATTTAAAAATCGTTTCTGTAGAGCTCTCATGTGACATATTTCTTGTAATGTTCTTTCTTTATGAGCACAATATTGGTTAATCAGTTGTTATATATACTGGTCAATTGAAATCTGATATTTTTTTCCCTGGTTGTAAGCTTTCTAGACTTCATATTATTACATTGTATTATGTAAACACATTTTTCACCATAGTGTGCATAAAGATACCTCAACAGACATCTTTTTCATTGTCTTCATAAGGATATTCTGATWAGAAACTGTTAATGAAATAACTTATAATTGGTTGTAACAATTCCTTGTAATAGAAATATACTAATCCTTGTAAACTATTAATTAAGTTGATAATTTGTTATTATAATTCAACATTTCTAGTAATATTCTTAATGATTTCTTCTCTAATAATCCGGTTATCAAAACTTATCTTTAAAACTAATTTTTGTCTTTTGTGAGCATTAAAACTCAAACCCATCAATTCTGGATTCTTCTGAAGCTTGATTAAGATGAAGTGGAGGTATCTTTATTGTTTTAAGACTTGCGTTTAATTAATGCTTGGTTTCTGTTTATAGTTTGTGGGAGTTGAAGGCTTTGTGACTGCCATCGTGGACATGTTTCCAGGATATCTGAGAAGGGGATATCGMAAAGAGATTTTTATAGGAATTATGTCAATAATATGGTTTCTTATTGGACTCCTCATGGTTACTGAGGTAATATTACATTGAACAMCATTCATCTCTTTTTCCAAAAATGCTCTAATTTGTTTTGGATATGCTTTTTATGGTGGAAACAATGTCACCCATGTATGGATCAGTTGTGAATGCACTAATAAATCCAAAATAAAAACAATAACAATGACAGCAAAAACACAAAAACAACTAGATGCATACCTGTGTGAACTCAGGGTTATTGTTGATAAAAATCTAGTAGTAAATCCGCAATATAAATATTCAGCGTAAATTATATCGATAAAGTTTGTACACTTTCGTAGTAAGGCTTGTTTACACTTGCGAATTCTGCAGCGCATCAAAATACGGCGAAGAGAAAACCCTACTTTGCATAGCAGGCATTGCATAGCTCATGGTACCAATAAATATCACCGTTTTGTAAAGTTTATCTTTTGTTTATTTTTACTGATTCGTCCTCGAGTCAGAGATCTATACGTTCATGCATCAATCCTSATTATMATAGAATTGATCTTCGGCAAGGTYYTCGATGRTTCACTTTGATAGTCACATTGCAGGCTATAAACACAGAGTCTTTCCTCAGAGTTTTTCCTTAGTAGAACTCTGAGGATCGCATTCCTTAGATAAGTCCTTTGTAGTTCCTGAGCCTGTATAAGTTAGTAGAGAGTTCATTRTCTGATAAGATAGGTAGCTTGTTTGATAGATAATTCATGATAGGCAGTACGATAAATTTCACAACAAATTCGCAGTATCTGTCAAAATGCCCTTTCGAAAAATGCTCGACATCTTTTAGTGTGGCTATAACACAATGGTGTGTGGATTGGTAAGCGATTTGAGCATATCTGACATTGAATGCATGTCTTGAAATCTAAGATAGCACATGGAAGATGTGAATGTCACGTGACAGCTTGGACAATTTGTGACTGATAAGCGATGACGAAGAAGCCCAAAATTTAAACTTGGGATTCCTTTGGAATCGCAAGTAAAAAGGGAAATTATCATTAAGAGACTTACAATGCAAATCGAAAAGCTGTGATAGCATGTGCCAGCTTCATTTATGACCAAGTTTCCTGTTTTGTCTGCAGGGTGGCATGTATGTGTTTCAYCTATTTGATAATTACTCTGCCAGTGGAAGTGCCCTTCTATGGGTTGCTCTCTTTGAAAGCATAGGTATTGGATGGGTTTATGGTGAGTGCAAGTTTAATCTCTCATTATGGGTTGTAAAGAATTAGATTGCTGTAACTGGTAATAATTTTCTTGTGATTGATACTAATAACATCAACATGTTGAGTGATGTATMCCTGAAATAATAATTAATGTGTATTTTAAAATCTGATATTTTATTTCCAAAAAAATACTGAATTTGTATCTATTACATATTATATATTTTATATAATCTGTTTGTGCCATTAGGTGCTGAAAGGTTTTATCAAAACATGGAGGCTATGATTGGATTTAGAGTGAGCCCATACCTGAAGATCTGCTGGATATTCTGCACACCAATTTTTTGCTTGGTATGTTTTAATAACACTTGACAATTTCCATTTTACTAGGGTAGTGAGGTCAGATGAAGGATTAGGATTATTTGGGGTGTGTAAGGTGGGGRGGGGTAACCAGGGATTTCATTAGAAGTCAGTAACCAGTTGTAACACTTGTGGCTCCTTATGATTCACATAGGGTTTCTTCTTCAGAACAGCCACTGACTTCAAAACTTAATGAAACTCCTGAGTAACTTAAATTAAGTACTATTCAAAAACATATTAATTTCTCTACACTATCCTAGTGCCTGCTTCTCTACCGTATTCTACTCTGTCAARATCWGWCAWAAAACTTGCATAACCAGCATTGTGCATAGATTAAGCTCATGKAGCCAAATGTATCTTGCTGTGTTATACTCATGACCTGTTTTYTTGTGCATAGGCGGTGTTTATCTTCACCCTGGTGACCTATGAACCATTGGTTTACAACAAGACCTACAAGTATCCTGCATGGGGTGAAGCTATCGGCTGGATTCTTGCCATGTCATCCATAATTTGCATTCCCYTTGTTGGCATCATCAATATGATGAAAGCCAGTGGAGATTTCATTGATGTGAGTTGCACAAAATTAATAAAAATTGTTAGTGATGAACCTACATTGAA